GATATGGCTCAGAAAAGATGTCAGTGGCTCGATGGCTGGGTGATTTGTTTGGCGAAGCCCCGTTCCCCATAACACAAAAAGTATCTCCAAAACGTTTACCGTGAAACTGTCAAAAAGGTCATTCGTTCAATCATTCTCCGTGTTCCCTGATTTTCCCATTTTCATTTAATCTTTCTGTACTCCATCACAAGTTCATTACCAATGTTTTGCAATGGCACCATGCTTGTTTTCAAGCAGGTGTAAAATATGAAAATATATACTTGGTATAGCCTCTAAATGTTGATGCCTAATAAGAACTAATGCTGCTTCATAAAACTTTGCGGCTTTCAGTATTGAATAGAAATGAATATCTCTGCACTTATTTTACATTTGTAAGCGTCCTTCTGTAAGCGTGTAATTATGTAAAACAATCACTCGCGTCCTCATCATCTTTGCAAGCGGGTTTGTTTGAGCAAGTGATCAGTGCACTGGACATACACCGTTTGTGAGAAATATGAAAAACCTCACTCCGTAAACAATTTAACAAAATTGTGCTTAGTAAAAATAATTTCTCAGGTGCACGTGAACTTTCGAGCAGACAGATTTTGTTTAAATTGGTATGCATCTCAAAATCTTAACAGCCTTCTCAAAACTTTGGGACTCGTGAGCAACGGATGCTAGTCAGTTCAGTTTGGGTTTTAGTGAATAGTTTCTACAACAACAATTGAGATTATCAACGAAAGATGGAACGTATCCCCAATGACTCCAGCAAGTTCTTAGGAGAAGAAGAATGTGATGACCCCAAGGAGCTGTAACGGAAAATTGCCTCTAAAGTTCAGTTTCTATTAGAAGGACATTTCATTGATTCGAACACCGCGCGGGACCTGAAGCCGAGAGGAACTCAGACGCCCCAACTTTATGGCCTACGGAAACTCTACAAGCCAGGGGTGCCACTCAGACCAATTCTATCCATGACGCACTCACTACAGCACAAAATGGCGAAATGGCTGGTTATTGTGTTAGAACCAGTTCATAGATCGATGGTCAAGCATACAGTCAAGGACAGTTTTGAATTGGTGGATATTTTTAACAAAATTAACATAGAAGGAAAACACATGGCTTCCTTCGATGTTCACTCCCTGTTCACTAATGTTCCAGTTCGTGAAGTCATACAAATTATCTGGGATGATGTAGAGAAGGAAAATATTCGACTGTGTCCACTGGTGTCCGTCCTTGAGCGTCTACTACTGCTCTGCACAAACGACGTGTCTTTCTCTTTACAAGGTAATGCGTACAGGCAAATTGATGGTGCCGCTACGGGCAGCCCGTTAGGCCCAGCCCTGACAGACTTCTTCATGGCACATCTGGAAGAAAAAGGAACCAATATTCTGGTTATAACAGAAAGCTAAGAAGAAGCTACGAAAATTATGGATGAACTTAACACACTACAACCAAATACACACTTCACAATGGGATATGAATCTAATAACACACTCAATTTCATTGACAATACTATGACCAGAAGAGAAAATGGAACGATTGCTCGATCCGTTTATCGAAAGGAAACGTGGACAGGCTTTATGCCCCTGGAGTATAAACCTGGTCTTGTTCGGACCTTATTTGACAGAACGAGACGAATCTGCACGGAAGACAAAATTGAACAAGAACTGTGAAACCTCCGGGAGTTTTTAACAAAAAACGCTTACCCCGAAGCGTGTGTTAGTAAGCTTAGTGGACCGAAAATGGCAAAAGAACCGATTGCGTCAGTTCCCAAATTGCGGGTCACATTACACCTTCAATTCAAAGGTGATGGCGTAAGCCGCCTGCTCTACAAACGACTGAGGTCAGCAGTCGCTCGAACCTACTACACAGCCGACCCCAAAATCGTCTACCGAACAACCAGGATACCCACACCCCCGGCAACAGAACGTCTGCCTCTGTACGCCAAATCTAATCTAATCTATCAATTCCAATGTGGTTGCGGAGTGACCTACGTGGGCCGAACAGAACGACAGTTACGCAATCGGGTGGTGGAACATATTCCGAATTGGGTGCAAAATCAGCTGACCCAATTGAGGTCAAGTCCGCGGCATAGAAACGACGATCGAAACTACAAGACCCCGTCCTCAGCAATTGCTCGACACCTGCTGATGACGCAACACCAAGTCGACCGAGGCACAACGTTTCAAATTGTCTACAAGTCACAAGTCGCAAGATTGTTAAGGTTGGCCGAAGCGATTGAGATTAATCGATGGAAGCCCCCTTTGTGGCGGCAAAAAGAACTTCATTTTAGTCTCTCCCTATCCTGGTGATAATGGTCCTTTTATTCCTCCCTCTTTTATGTTTTGTCTGCATTTTATGTATTTTGCTTTACTTTGTTGCCATGCTAAAGCCCTATATAAACACGGTATTTTCTGCAGTATGGACCATGTTGAGATGCAGCGAAATCATCCTGGACATAAATCGTGCAGTATAGCCATATGGTCTTTTCTTTTGAAATTAATCTCGGGAGAGGCTTGTTTCAATTGAGAAATCGCTCGTCTCTAAGTTCCACAGACAAGGGTTTTCGTTCATCTGTTCTGTGGTTTTAGGCGAATCAGATACAACAGCTCCACCTATGAAACGAACCTGTGTTAGGCGTACATCCGATTCATCGCATTGGTAATTTGTATTTAGACATTTTTCTGTTCGCTCGTGAACTTCCGAGGTCTGAAGCAATCTGATGAATTTGTTATAGCTTCCTTTCAAGAAAAGACCTCCTCTTGACCTGGAATACTTTGTTTAATTTAAAGATTACTATAGCTTTTTCAATTTAGGGGGTCCGACCATCAATTCAGGATGTCACAATGTCAATTTAATATGTCTTTATATCAATTTTGAATGTCGTGTTGCCATGTGAATATTACAATAATATGATTGCTCCATCGTTTTACATTGTCTTGTCCATTTTGCGATGATCTTTTTCTCATGTCAGTTCACACGTGTGGTAATGGCACTCTTGCCGTACAGTCGAAGTTCACTGGACCTGCTAATGTTTCGTGGTTTTAGAAAGGTGTGGTTTCTCGCTCGGGTTAGCTGGGCAAGCACCATGTCCCTAGTTGCGGCTGGACTATCCACCCGATCGATAAACGATCCCGATCGGTCGTGTGATTTTCAGGCCGGCATAGGAGGAGGACAAGTTCTGAATCCGATGTTGCCTAAGTGTTGGCAGAGAATCACCATAGAAGAATCAGTTGCGGAACGATGCGCCGTGTTGGAAATTCAGAATGGAAAATGTTCAACCGATGATTACACTGGATCAACAGTTGACTCGTACAAGACACATGTACTATATCTCTAAGCGAGTTCGGCTAAC